ATATATATATATATATATATATATATATATATATATATTTGCAATGCATATAATCAAAGAAGTGGTGGGTTTGCTTTTATCTTCTGTTTGCTTCTTGACAAAAAACTTTCTCTCTTCAAGCCTCCATTTCCTCTTTTATGAAAATGGAAGCTTGATTCGATTATAGTACTGAGATGATCAAAATAATTCAAGGCGTGTAAATACAGGAACCATAAAATCAGAAGACGATGCAGTGAGGTGGAGAAGAGCTCAGGGTTTGGGGTCAGAGTGTTTGGTTCAAGTCCTTGCTTTACTGTTACCACCTGGGGGAGCCTGAGGAAGAGTTTCGATTTATTTACAGCATCATCGTAACCCGAGCTGATGCCAGCCACCTCACAGCACTGTTATAGTGAGGAAATGACGTGGCAAATGTAACAGTACCTCGCATGCAGGAACTGACCAGTCAATGCTGTTACAATCACCTCAAAGAGGCGTGCAGAACTAGATTTCTTGGCAACTAGCAATCAATTGAGAGGAAACAAAACAAAACACTTGAGGTTGTCATTGCCATGAGTAGAAATCAACTTGGCCGGCAACTGGCTCTTTAAAAATGTTATAAGATAAACACCAATGAAGGATAATTTATCGATTTGCCAGAAGACACCTGGACACCACAAGGAAACCTAACACCTGATAATTTCCTCCCACACCTCAAACTCTGAGAAAGGAAAGACATGTATTTGGAACTTTGACTTTCTTTCTGACCCTTTGTGTCTGGTTTTGGAATGAAGTCAAAGAACACAGGCACTTACACAAGCCACCTCCTGCTCCTTCCCCACCCTCCTCCTTCCGTCTTGCCCTCCGCTGCTGGGTGCCACCCTGACCACCAGAGAGAAACCATTCATTAACACGAGTTGGTTACAAGACTCTTGTTAGAAACGGGCCTTTACAAACAGTCCTTCCAAGGACGTCAGAGCCGGCGCTGCGCGGGCTGGGCCAGTCTTCGGAGCCCGCCAAGAGCGAACGTCGCTGGGGGGCGCCCTTTCCGGAGAGCATCACACGATGAGCACGAGCTTCTTATGGCTCTCCAGGTGCCGGACCACGGCGCAGAACTCCTCGAAGGAGATCCTGCCGTCGCCGTCCGTGTCCAGGATGATGATGGTTTTATCGACGACCTGCTGTAACTGCGAGTCTTTCAGGTTGTCGCCCACCATCATCTTCAGCACCTGGAAGAGCTCGCCGTTGGAGATGTAGCCGTCTCTGTCCATGTCGTAGATGCTGAAGGCAAACCTCAGTTTCTGCTCCTCGCCTCCCCGGACACTGAACAGGGAGGCCCCCAGGATGAATTCCTGGAAGTCCACCTCCCCGTTGCCGTCCGCGTCGAAGACGTCGATGACCCGCCGCAGCAGCGGGTTGTGCCGCAGCTCGGGCAGCGACAGGAACTCTTGCACGCTCAGCGCGCCCGACTTGTCCAAGTCCAGCTTCCGGAAGCTCTTCCCCAGCCGTTTAATCTCGTCGTGGTCGAAGTGCGAGCACATCTCCGCGGGGTAACTCTCCTCGTTGCCCATGGTTGCGCGCAGGGTCATGGGAAGGAGCCACGACAGTTGGGCCCGGGTGCCACGGGCGTCGGAGGCAACACTGGGCCGCGCTGGGGGGAGGGGCCGCATGGACTTCCGGCGCCGGAGAGGCGGGGCGGCGGCGGCAGCGGGCGGCGCGGGAGCTGGGGTCTCCAGGACAGGCGAGGCGCGGGGCAGCCTGCCTCTGCTGTCTTCCTTCTCCCACCCCTTTGTAGGCTTCCATTACAACCGCTATTGGCCTGGCAATTATTTTATCTTCTCACTTCGTCACTTTTTTCCCCAGGGGCAGGGGTGAATGGATGTTATTCATAACAGTATCTCCCCCCCACACACGCACACACAGTGTCTGGGGTACCCAACCAAAGTCAACTCATGGTCACCCCACATGGTCCAGAAAAGCATCACTCCATAGGGTTTGCTTGGCTTTTTTCCTTCTTTTTTTAAACCCAACTTAATATGAGTCTGCCCTCTCTTCCCCACCCACCCCTGGTAACCGTCAAAGAATACCTCTTCTTTTTATTTGGGTGAAGGCCTTTTCTAGACTTTTTCCAATAGCGGTCTCAAACAACATTGGCCCTTTTGTGATTCACTCATTTCAGTCACCGTAACGGCCATGCTCCGAGGTGTTCTGCAGATTCGTCATGGATTCCATCGTTGATCCGTTCCTCCCTTGATAGGCATTTAGGTGGTTTCTCTCTTCTTCCTATGTGCACAGTGCTGCAGTGAACATGGGCGTGCATCTATCTGTTCGTGTCACGGCTCTTACTGCTCTAGGATATGTACCTAGTGGTGGGCTTGACAGATCATGTATATGGTATTTCTATTTCCAGCTTTTTTTAAGGAAGCATTATACCCTTTTCCACAGTGGTTGCACCATTTGAGTCTTACCAGCACTGTTTGAGGGTTCCAGTGCCTCCAGTCTCCCCAGCCTCTGTTGTTTTCTGTTTTTTCGAGCTTTGCTCTTAGTGCTGGAATGAGATGATGCATCCCTGTTGTTTTGATATGTATCTCTCTAATGGCTAATGAGGGAGCTCTGGTAGCATAGCGCCTAAGGCACTTGACTGCTAACCAGAAGGCTGGTGGTTCAAACCCCCCAGCCACTCCTCGGAAGGAAGATGGGGCAATCTACTTCCGTAGTGATACTGCCTCGGAAACCCAAGGAGGGGTCGCTATGAGTCGTCTCTGACTCGTCGGCACAGAACAACAACAATGGCTAATGAGGAGCTCTGGTGGCGTTGTGGCTGAAACCTTCGTCTGCTACCAGAAGATCAGTGGTTTGAATCAGGTGCTCCGTGGGAGAAAGATGAGGCAGTCTGGTTCCGTAAAGATTTACAGCCTTGGAAACCCTATGGGGCACTTCTATTCTGTCCTAGAGGGTTACTATGAGTTGGAATCGACTCAATGGCAGTGGGTTTGGTTTAATGGCTAATGATCATGAGCATTTCATGTTTCTTAGCTGTCTGGATGTCTTCTTTGGTGAAGTGTCTGTGCATGGCCTCTGCCCAATTTTTAATTAGATTATTTCTCTTTTTGTTGTTAAGGTGTTGGAGTGTTTTATAAATTTGAGGACTGTTTGTCAGCTATGCTGTTCAGGCTGTAATCTTTATGGGGAGTCCCTGGATGAAACAGATGGTTGGCAGTTTGAACCCACGCAGAGGTGGATTCTAACTAACAGTAATTTTCTGGATGGTGGCAGATCACCAGGCCTTTCTTCCAGGGGGCGACTGGGTGAGCCTGAATTGCCAGCCTTTAGGCTAGTGGTCTAGGGCAGACAGTTTGGGTCATTGACATACAGTTCATGTTAATAAATACTTGTTGAATGACTGAGTGAACTGCAATCACGTCTACTTATGCATACTTCATAAGCCTTTTTTGTAAGATTTACATAAAAAATCTGATGATTTTACATAGATATACCCAAACCTACACACACATCATTTTGATGCAGTGGCCCCTGTCCTTTGTCAGGACATGGGGTTCAAGGTCTTTGTAAGACTCAGCCTAGATACAACAGAGTTTCTTACGTAGACCACCTCTAGGTGCTGACATAGTCCTGAAGAAAGCACCCAACCTGGTTGTAGGCATCTCTCAAGAAGACACGGGTCCAGAGAGCACAGCCTCTGTCACCGTGCTACCTCAGATCCGTCATTTCATGCTCCGTCCGTACTGTCGTTGGACTGGTGCCGGGCAGCTGTCCTGGCAGAACACTTTGAGAAGAACCACTATGCACCCAGAGAGGCTTTCTGTATATGTGGGGAGTGACGGCGGCTCTGGGCAATGGCCCATTTTTCCACTTGCTTTAACTGGACTTGTTCTTTTTCGTTGAAGATTAATCACACATGCTCCCTCATATCCCATCAGTTACTCCAAATGCATAAAAAGTAAATTTAGTTCAAGAGCAATTCAGTTCAAAGGCACTTGTCATGGGGAGAGGAGGGGAGGAGGGTGGTGAACTCCAGGCCACTAAATCAAGCTGAAGGGGCCAGACACTTCCTCACTTGTCTTAATGTTGGCAGGTTCTCTGTACTTCAGTCAGAAGATAAGTCTAAAGGTAACCACACTGAAACTGGCACAGCTAAGCCACTGGCTACCTTATCATCAAGTATAGCCATTTTCATTTGCTTCTATAAATGATGATTCATTGATTTTATCTGAATCCTGATCATATATAATCCCTTTTCCCAAGCAGATTACATCAGCAGGGATCCTAGAAGAGTGCGCAGAAGAGCCAATGACGTCAGTTATGGTATCCCTCAAATCTACAATGGAATCCACTGCCGTGGAGTCACTTCAGACTCACAGCGCCCCTAGAGGACGGAGGAAAACCACCCCGTAGATTTCCAAGGCTGTAAATCTTTGCAGCTTTGCCTTACTGATTTGCTTCTTTCCCAGCTGTCTGCCAAATGAACAGCGCAGCTGGGTATAAACTCTTGAATGTGGATGCTGAAGCCACCACCTTAACGTGCATTACAGGAGGCCTGAAGTCATGCAGGTCTCCCACCGCCACCAATGGCTCTGACCCGTGTCCTTGCTCTAGCCAAAAGGCTATTCTAGATTCTGGGGGCTGCCATTCTAGGAAGTCAGAAACCTCAGGGCAGCCTGCTGTCCTCGGGGCATGTGGAGTGCCTTTGAGTCTTTGGAATCGCATTACTGTCCCAGGCTCATGCCTTTGACCACTGTGTAGTCCAGATTTTTGGACTGACAGGTGGGTGGTGGTTAATGATTGTTGTTGTTATGTGCGGTCGAGTCGTTAATGATAAGGTTCCCTTAATTTACTCAATGAACACGGCACAGGAATTGATGTAGTGAAAGGCCTCCATTAGCCCATTCATTGTTGCCAGTTCCACCTTCTTTTTACCAATACAACCCTTCACCTTTGTATAGACAGGATCGGGATCGTACTTGTAGGAACTATACTGAGTTTTACAAACTGTGGGTTGCAACATATTAATGGGTTGTGAAGTTGGTTGGTTTAGTGGGTTACAATGAACAATAAAAAAATAGAATAAAATATTGAACAGAAAATATCACTAGTAAGGGGAAGTACTCTCTGGAAATGCCCTGGTGCCACTGTGGTTAAGTGCTTGGCTGCTAACCCAAAGGTATTAAGTTCAAACCCATCACCTGCTCTGTGGGAAAAAGACGTGGCAGTCTGTTTCTGTAAAGATTTACAGCCTTGGAAAACTATGGCAGCTGTTCCACTCTGTCCTCTAGGGGTGCTGTGAGCTGGAATCAACTCAACTGCATTGTTGTTGCTGTTATGTACCGTCGAGTTGGACCCGACTCATAGCGCCCCCTCCTTGAGTTTCTGAGGCGGTATCACTATGGAAGTAGGATTGCCCAACCTTCTTTCTGAGGAGTAGCTTGTGGGTTTGAACCGCCAGCCTTCTGGTTAGCAGTCAAGTGCCTTAGGTACTGCGCTACCAGAGCTCCTAACTCAATGGCCGTGGCTTTGATTTGGGCTTTGCTTCTGCAAAGATTTACAGCCTTGGAAATCTACGGGGCGGTTTTCCTCCGTCCTCTAGGGGCGCTGTGAGTCTGAAGTGACTCCACGGCAGTGGATTCCATTGTAGATTTGAGGGATACTGTAACTGACGTCATTGGCTCTTCTGCGCACTCTTCTAGGATCCTGGCTAACTTTCTCCCGAGCAACCCCATGGCCGTTATTTAGGTGACAGGAGCCAGCAGTGTGGAAACTCTTTGTCCGCTGTATTCCTCAGTGTGGTTGTATTAGGAGGCAACAAGGGTAGTGGAGAAAGCTCAGGAGTTAGATAAACTGGTTCCGGTCCCAGTTTGGCCCCTTATTAGCCGTGAGCCCTTCGAGAAGCAATTATCACACCAGCCTAGTGGCTCCATCTGTAAAATGATGATGACGCCTGCCTTATCCACTACACTCACTGTGAGAGTCAGATGAGTTGTGTATATAGAAATGCATATAGCAATCTTATCAGAGGAGTTAACTCATTTAATGGTTGAACAGACAATGCTGGGAAGACAGCACCCGCTCGCTGAAATAATTCAGGTGTGCAACCAGAATGGCTTGCCTCCTGCGTGGTTGAGAATGTACTTTTGCTGGCTTTGGAGTTCAGTCTACGTGGAGTCGTGTTCCCTATGGTGGTCCGTGGCTCAGCCTTATTGTGGGACTCAATGCCATTGTTTTGATTTTCTCCAGCCATTATTCTTAGTCATTTCCATGGAAAGCACTGTTAGTTACTCTTTCTGTTGGCCTCTGCTGTGGGTGTTTATCACTGTGGAAGGATTTGGACTGTTGGATGCTCACTGCTGTAAGGAAATTACAGGATTGATGAATTGTTCAGCAGACACCAGGAGGCTGATGGCACTGCTCTTGCAACGAGTCATTTTTTTCCCCCTCAAGAATGTTCAGAAAAAGAACGATGAGACGGTCACGTGAAAAAAATAACTGCCATTGGAAAATAAAACCAACGGATATGGAAGTGAGCCTCATCTTGTAAGCAAGTCAGGAGGGTGGG